TCAATCTTTAATAAACAAAATCTCGGATTGGGGACGCCTCTAGTCCTGTTTAAACTTCAGAATACACAGGCTTGCGCGTTTGCCGCCAATAATAACTCCTTTGTCGTATTTCCTCAATTTCAGGGCACTCCCCACAGCCAGCATGGGAATCCTCGGCATCGACATATTGAATCTTGAACATACGAAATCTTGGCATGTTCAGTAGAGCGAGACAACATTTCTTGCCGGCACATTCTTTGCAACTTTACAAGGTGCATGCTCACCCTCACATGAGTACTGTTCTCATCTCTGTACAGAGGCACTCCAGTGCCAGCTCCTTCCACTTGACCGCATCCAGTGAAGAGTGTATCGAATCTTCGTCGACCGAGTTCTTTCTGATCGGCTCGATTCACTGGCGCTGCGAAGAGATGTTGAACCTCATTGCTTTTTCTGTCGCATATTTTCACGGGGAGTATTGAGACAAATTGTTCGAATAAATTCCAACCGCCAACCTCCACCAACGCACATCGGGACAAAACTCACGGTACTATCCACACGATGCTTGGCGGACCGATACGACTTAGAAACCTTCAATAAACGGGCTTACTCCTTTTAAAAAGGCCGGCAACGCACCTGCAATTTTCTTGGTGTTGCAGTTATTAATGGGCGATGGTTGACACTTACTATCAGGAAAATTTGATTCAAGTGCGGGGTGGAAAGCTAGTAAAATATAAAAATCTAGTAAATACATCCGTGGGCTGGGCAAACAGACAGAACTGGCCGGTTTGGGGGGGGGGGGCATATTCAGTTAGCCTAGGACTATCGGAACTCTAAATCAGGCATTATGCATCGTCTGCGTTTCTTATACTTATTGTTTATATGGAACGTACGATAAACCGATAAATGAAGCTTGGGGCAACAGAGGTCAAATAACCTCTAGCCTCTATATAATATGTAACGTTTTTGTAAATTTCCCCATTTAATAAAATTTCTTTTAATTTGTGCATTATTTTATTTATTCTCTGAAAAGGATTACTTACATGAGCATAATCATATTATGATACCTAAAAGCCCCTCACGGATTAGACAGTCAGATTTTTTTTAACATTTTGTAGGATACCTGTATTATCTAAGACGTGGTCCTTCACTGCTGGCATTATGAGGAAACACAAGGTAGCTCAGCGAGCTATGGCGAAGGCTATGCCCGGAGTTTCTCTGCGTGACAAATTTTGTAATGAGGATACCTGCAGTAGAACCAGAATAGGTAACCGATATAACGCAACGGATCAGTAAGCTGTGGTGGTAGTGGCTTATATCTAGCCCTCAGGACCACAGATCTATTACTCGCTCAAAATCATGCTTTTAGTCATTTCTTGGTCTTGGGGGAGGCTTATGTTTAGTTAACTTGTGACTGAAACGATGATGATATCGATTATGCTGTTTTTTGACTTTTCACGCCACATATTTTGATCTCCGCGTGGTTCTACGAGAAAAATTTTCCAATTTTGCAATTCAGTAACTGAACATTAGATATTCAAATTTTCTGCAACCTGACAGCTGTGTGAAATTTTACTGAATTCAAATTGATACGAATGATCCACAAAATTTAAATTGGATATTGACCTAATTAAATTCAAGAAAGGTGACAACGCTCTCTTGAAGAACTACAGACCGATTTCCCTTCTGAGCCGCGTCTACGTGCTGTTTTCGAGAGTCATTACGAATCGTCTCGCGCGCAGACTTGACGACTTCCAGCCTCCCGAACAAGCCGGTTTCCGAAAGGGCTTTAGCACCATAGACCACATACATACCCTTCGGCAAGTTGTACAGAAGTCCGAAGAGTACAATTTGCCACTATGTCTGGCGTATGTGGACTATGAGAAAGCCTTTGATTCCGTCGAAATTTGGGCGGTGCTGCAGTCCCTTCAGCGGTGCCAAGTTGACTGTCGGTATATCGAAGTGTTGAAGTGCTTGTACAGTAGGGCTACGATGGCTATCCGAGTACAGAACCAGAGTACGAAACCTATCCAATTGCAGAGAGGTGTAAGACAGGGTGACGTCATATCCCCGAAACTCTTCACCGCTGCATTGGAAGACGTTTTCAAGCTTCTGGACTGGAAAGGATACGGTATCAACATCAATGGCGAGTACATCACTCACCTTCGATTTGCCGACGATATAGTCCTTATGGCAGAATCGCTGGAGGACCTAAGCACTATGCTCAATGACCTCAATAGTGTTTCCCAACGGATAGGTCTTAAGATGAACATGGACAAAACTAAGATCATGTTTAATGTCCATGTCACACCTATGCCGGTAGTTGTTGGGAACACTAAGCTCGAAGTTGTTGACGAGTATGTTTACCTGGGACAAATAGTCCGACTGGGTAAGTCCAACTTCGACCGAGAGGTCAATCGACGGATTCAACTCGGCTGGGCAGCGTTCGGGAAGCTACGACACATCTTCTCGTCAGATATACCTCAAAACCTTAAAACGAAATTGTACAACCAGTGCGTGTTGCCAGTGATGACTTACGGAACTGAGACGTGGTCCTTCACTGCTGGCCGTATGAGGAAGCTCAAGGTCGCTCAGCGAGCTATGGAGAGGGCTATGCTCGGAGTTTCTCTGCGTGATAAACTTAGGAATGAGGATATCCGCAGTAGAACCAGAGTGACCGACATAGCCCAACGGATTAGTAAGCTGAAGTGGCAGTGGGCCGGCCATATAGCTCGAAGAACCGACAACCGATGGGGAAGAAAGGTTCTCGAGTGGCAGCCTCGTACCGGCAGGCGAAGTGTAGGGCGTCCCCCCACGAGATGGAGTGACGACCTGGTAAGACATGCAGGAAGTCGATGGATGCAGGTGGCTCAGGACCGTGTTTTGTGGCATTCTTTGGGGGAGGTCTATGTTCAGCAGTGGACTTGTGAAGGGCTGTAATGATGATGATGATGATTGACCTAATACAACTTTCGACCACAGTTTAAGTTACAAGCTTTAGGTATCATACATAAATAAATGAAAAAATATATGGTGGGCCATATTATTTATTGAAAATATAGTACTTAATAAAAACATTTGTCACGGATAAAGGTCGCTAGTAACATTTTGCAACACATTGATATATTTTATAATAGTGTACCGAATTTAATTGTTAAAAAAATGTTATACATGTTACAATGAATTTTTCCTGTATCATAAAGGCAATTTATATAAACAAATAGCATAAATTACACTTAAAAAACAAAGGTCCATAACTGGAACAATAATTTGTAGGCAATGCAAACACTTATTCCACGCGGGATTCGAACCCGCATCCACCGCAACGCTTACACATTTAGAAACTGCTATTGAGCAGTTATCCACTTCTCATAACTAAATATTATTTCATGTAATAACTGTTACCTCGAAATTCATTGTGATAACCTTCAAACGGTCTTATCACGAGTAATATTTTTTAAAAGGCCTTGATACAGAAGTGCTCTGTACTCAAAAAAAGACCCTCATCAACAAATCACTGAACAATTTATCCATGATATCAAAAATCTATTCACTGTAATTTTAATATGTTCACAATATTATGTGACCTGTATGTTCACAATAAAAACGTAAATGAAATGTAAAAAATCATTATTATCAAATCATTGACTAACCTACAGAGAGATAGGCTATGCAGACACCAAGTAGGAATATACAAAATTATGAAAAATGTACCACAAAATTACTAACAACTTCACACAAGGGTATGTTTGCCTCGAATATAAAAAAAAATCAGAATCAAATCTCAGATAATACATTGGCATTTTCTAAAATCAACACACCGCGCATCGTCATCGTCATCATTACAGCCATTCACTCTCACTTCAGCGGTCTACTGGAATAGCTGACACCAATGTATTAGCTGAGATGGAAATCATTTCAAAAGACTGGAAAAATTATGTTATAAATATGTACTGCAAAACATTTTTTTTTCTAGACATAAATATATCTAAAAAAGTTCAAAGTTTAAAAAAATAATAAAGCATGATATAATAATGGTTTTACTAATGCACTATAAACATTTCTAAAACAATTTGTAATAATGTGTTACTTTTACTTATATTAATAAATAATAATAAAATTATTATTTTTTTGAATAAGACCATATTGATACAATCAAGTTCAAACCCTGACTTCAGAACAAGAATTAGCTGTGTGATCAGGATTAAGTTCCTTCTATTAAACAGTATATACTTTTAGTGTTAATTTTATAAATCTTGAATTAACTTATTTGTACTTAACACATAAATATATTTTAGACATTAAAAAAATACATATGCCCACACATAAAATTGTAAATCTTATCAATACCTCATTATTTCACAAAATGGCTCGGATTGGTGGTATAAAACAAGAAGCTTAATAATATCAGAAATATATGTTCTTAACATCTAAGAGATTCACAGTATGATATGGACTCAAAGTAAAAGTATACGAGAGTAAACTTATTTTAGTATCATAAAACTACGTATGTATTGTCCTAAATTTTTCTGAAGTACAAAAATACATTTAATTTTACAAGTAGAAATAAAGCTTTAACAGACAAAATTAATACTCAACTCCACATTAATATTAAATTTCATTTTAGATTGACATTGAAACATATTAAAGAAGTAACAAAGTTTACTAAATAAACATGAATTGCTAGGTAAAATAATTGTGTTATAAACTTATATGGAATTACTGTGGGTAACAAAAACCAGTTAAATCAAAAAAACTAACCTCAAAGATATTGTGTTACATACATTAAAATAAAGTTCTATTGACCTTCTAATTTTATAAAGTTGGTTAAAAGGGACGAAACAAAATGGGCGGATATAAGATCACAATCTAATTCACTATCCAAAAAAAATAGAATAAAAAGTGATTGTGACATCTGGAATAAAAATTATACTTCTTACAAGAGAAGACCTCATAAAAATCAGATCTGTTACATTTAACAATGTAGATTTTATAAAAAAACATATAAACAAGATTTAAATTAATCACGAGAGGAGATATTTAGAAATATAATGCATACTAAATAACAACAATACAAGTGCTTTCACTGAGAGGCATTGACTCTTGAAGGCAGTATCCCTAACATAATATCCATACGCATCACTGTGATAATCACCCATCTGGAATGTGATAGGAGGCGAAGACATCCTTCCGTCTCCACCATTAGAGTATGCCAGTACTCGTAAGTTGTATGACTTGCCTGGTGTCAGATTTGTGACATAGGCTTCCAATTTGTGTTCTACTGGGACAAGAGTGTCATTAGCAGTGCTCATGTCTTGATCTATCTCCCACACTCTCACCTAGAAATGATAAAATTAAGTATAACATTATGACAAAATGAATTAGCTTATACAGTGATAATTTTCTTTTTTTTATAGAATCACTCAATCAATCAATTTTTACTCAGTCCGCCTGATGTTAAGTGTAAGGATATTGGGGCCCACATACACCTACATCTATCCTCCACTTCTAGAATCGAAATATAAGTGCATTGTCAACCCTGAGGACTTTTAGTAGTAGTTTAGTATACGACGGGCTATTTTCCGCAACACCACATCTAAGCGCGTATTTTGCGTGTGGGCAGGAATATCACGATTATTCAAGCCATGAAATCTCTAAGAAGTTCAGCAATCCCTTGATGGCGCAAGCAACTTTGGGAGTGATCTGTCAAATGTTTAGCTGTGTATACCTCTGGATATGCCAACAACACGTGGGCCGCCGTTTTCTCCTCCTCCTGTCTTGTTCAATCTCATTAAGACCTTGGTTAAACAACTGTTTATTGCTGGCAGTGCTTTCCTAGCTTGCCTACACTGTAGGCCCTACAGGCTTCTAGGATTTTCCAAAACTGAGCGTGTTGATTAGTGAAGTGCTTATGTACCAGTGAACAAATGTTACCAAGAGCAATCAGTATGAGTGGTTTCGATCCTATGGTGTAAATAGTTTGTCCCATTATCCTTGCTAGGAATCATTGCGAATAATTCATAAAACAAATACGATTTCGGCCAGTTCAATGTACTGTAAAAGAACATTGTTCCAAAAAAAACGCGCTTTTGAAAATAATTTTCAATAACTTTAAAATAAGAAAATAGTGATTAACATAAAAAAATAATTTTATTGTAAAAAAGCGTGGGATGCTTTTTCCAGATGTTCTTATGATGATGCGATAATTTTACAAATATCTGCAAAAATGTTTACAACAAATGATATCAAGCACCTCACGCTTTTTTACAATAAAATGATTGTTTTATGTTAATCACTATTTTATTTTAAACTTATTGAAAGTTATTTTCTACTTTTTAGTTTGGTTATCTACAAAAGTGTGTTTTTTAACTATTATTTATTAAGAGTAAGTTTGTAAATATCTAAGATAAATTATTATTATTACTTTTTGTTAGAAAATCATACAATTTGTTGATATTTTATGGAAGTAGCAGGGATAGTATTCTTCTAAAAATAGAGAAAAGGCATCTCATACCTTATATCCAATAAGTGGCTCTTCTTCACCTGTGGGCTGCACATAACGCCAGACAACACGCACTGTGCTTGGGTTCACAGCCCATACATTAACTGATGCGGGAGGCTTTTGTGGCGCTTTACGGAATGTCCGCTCTAAGTATCTTTCACTCTCTGGCCCCTCACCAGCTGAATTAAATGCCATTACCTGAAAATTACCGTGATTTTGAATTACTTTTAATTTCTACTGGAACAGCTACTAAAAAGTTTTTGTTCATGCGTTTATATTACAGTGTAAAACATAATACTTTGAACATGGTGTTTAAACTATTTTCTCTCTCCGGTTGTGACGGATTGCCGTCCTATCAGGCTTGTGCAATCAACCATGCACTATAATACTAATACTATCATGTCTTGCACAGATGGCTAGTCTTGGTTGGGATTGACCGCTGACTGAAATTCGGTCTAAGTCTAAAAGGCATTATTGTTTAAAAGGTGGTTAAGTCTCATGGTAATTTATACTATCTCAAGATGTTAAGTAGAAATCAGTGTTTCCAAAACCCCAAAAACAACATAAAGTACTTTTAAGAGTAATAGAGAAAATATCACAATGCTTTTAATAAAAATTGGTTTCATTCATAGTCAATATTCTATTTATAATTAATTTTATGACATTTACAAAGGTGTGTATGGATTTTGCATATAAAAGTATTATTATTATTTCATACCAACTTAGTGAATCGAGTGGCATAGAAAAATATTATCATATTAGGTTCCCCGTACGAGAATTACACCTGTGTATCATGATTATGGCTCCCAGTGGTCGGAGCCATTTTCTACCGACTTCAAAAAGGAGGAGGTACTCAATTCGACTGTATGTTTTTTTTATATTTGTGTGTCCTCATAACTTTTGAACCGATTTTGATCATTTTTTCTGCCGACTTCCAAAAAGGAGCCGGTACTCAATTCGACTGTATGTTTTTTTTTTTTTATGTGTGTTACCTCAGAACTTTTTTCTGGGTGAACCGATTTCGATGATTCTTTTTTTATTTGAAAGCTGGTACTTCTCGTGTGGTCCCATATGAATTTGATCAAGGTCAGACCAATAGTTTTTAAGTTATTCTTAAATAACTTATATTGAAGTCGGCTGTACAAAATTTTTAATTTTAAATTATTTATTTAAAAGCTGGTGCTTCTTATGTGGTCCCATATATACATATATATTTATATTTGATCAAGGTCTGAGCAATCGTTTTTCGAGTTATTCTTAATAATTCATATTGAAGACGGTTGTACAAAATTTTAAATTATTAGTTTTATTACACATAATTTAATATTTGAAATAGAATATTACATACACTTGTGGTAGTATAAACGGTCAGCTTAGAATTATGTGCAGTTCAACAGATTTCTACAATCTTACCTTTACAAAGTAGTAGGTATCAGGCTGTAGACCTACAATAAGTGCCCAGTTGCGTGTACTTCTGGACAGATAGTAAATGCATTCCTCTTCTTTGTTTTCTTGTTTCCAATATTTGAGACGGTGACCAATTAGTTTGCCACGTAACCTGTCGCGGGACTGATCGATAGGATTCCAAGTAACATTAAGAGCAGTTGAGTTAAATGATCGTGCATAAACAAGTTGTGGAGCAATTTGCGGCATGTCTTCTGCAGAGTATATAGTCACAATTTCACTCTCTGGACCTGCTCCTAAATTATTCAAAGCCTGAACTTTAACATTATATGGTGTGTAGAAGTAATTTAATGACACATGAACAACATGCATGCCCACATTTCCATACTCCTTAAGCAATAGTGACTGGAATTCGACTTCGGAACCATTGCGCCGCCAAAATATCTTGTAATGTATACCAGGTCCATTCTGAAGAGACGGCGGAAGAGGAGTCCAAGTTATCGTGAGATCGCCAATCTTCCCACCTCCACCACCGACATTGGCAGGTGCTTGGTAAGGCTTATCAGGCAATGTTGAGAACTGTGGACTTGGTGCTGATGGTTTGCCTATCCCCAAAGTGTTAACAGCTTGTACCCTAAATTCATATACAGATCCAGGCGTAAGCGCGGTATTTATAAGTGCTCGTTTCCGACCATTGTATCTGTCTACCTCCATTACATTTGCTACATTATCGCTTATTACAGCCCACGTAGAATTCCACTGTGTACGACCAGTAACAACATATGCAATTATTGGGCGACCATTGGAACTACTATCCGTCCATTCAAGAGTAAGAGATGTGCGCCCTATGTTCATTATCTGTAAGCCACCAGGGGCACCAGGAGGGCCTTCGATTCTTAATTGGGTGCGAGATGAAATCCGACCAATTGCAGATTTTACAATACATTCATAATCACCTACATCTGAAAGACTAACATCGAAAATTGTCAGCTCACCACCATCTATTTTAATTCTTTTATCAGCATACATATCTGATTCATCCTTGAGTCGCATACCATTGTGATTCCAAAGATATGCTGTATCCAGCATTGGATCAACTTCTGCATTGCAGTGCAAGAAAACAACATCGCCTACTTGGGTTGTGATTCGCGGCGGAAGGCGTTCCAAGAACCGTGGAGTTTTTAAAACTATGAGGCGTCCACGACTTTCATCAGACCCATACTGATTTTTTGCTACACAAGTATAAACTCCTTCATCATCCCTAGAGAGCTGCCTTATAATGAGATTACCAGTTTCTGTAATGAACCTCTTGCCTCCAGCACCTATCACAATATTATCTTTTTTCCATGTAAATGTAGGTTTAGGAGCTGCTTCTGGGTTACATTTGAGCGTAACATTACCACCATCTGAACCATAAGTTTCAGATTCCATGGGGTGCTTTTTAAAAGAAGGTTTTAAAGACATGACCCGCAACTGTCCTGTTGAATATTTTGCTTTTAATTGATTCTTTGCTTCACACTGATACATGCCAGGGTCCCTGACCGGATCTAAAAACTTAATAATTAATACATTATCTTGTATAATATATCTATCTCTGTCTTCATCTTCTAATGTATCCATAGACAGCTTTACACCATTTTTCCACCATGTATAATTAACATCAGGAATGCCAAAAGCTTCACAGTTCCAGTGTAAATCTCCTTTATTGTCCATATGTTTGTTTGCAAGAGGAATAGTAAAGTTAGGCTCTGCTTGAACTTTTAAAAATACACTATTGCGAATATTTGCTCTGTCATTGCGCACATCACAAATATATTCACCTTCATCTTCCACACCCACATTTGGTATAGTCATAACTCTATCATAATTACTAAAATGTGCCTTTCGTGGGATATTTCCATTCTTCCTGGTCCAATTGTATGATGGAACTGGGTAACCAAAGGAAACACATTCCAATCTTACCTCTTGTCCCACAACAGGGGCATCAGGAAAGACTTTAGGAAAATTATTAGGAAACTTAAGTTGCTGATAATCTGAGTGCGGATAAACATAAAGAGGGAAAAATGGTCCATTTCTTCCTGCATCTGACACCTTGCTCATGACATTACAACTATAATTACCTCTGTCAATGGTTTCTAGAGCTGAAAAATATAAACCACCATCATAAGATACAAATACACGCTTATCCTCTTCCACAAGATTGGGGAAATAATTTCTTGCCCAAAGGAAGTTAACAGATGGATAATATGATGGGGGATCGCATGACATTACTTTACCCCAGTATTGATTACCACTTTCTATAGGTCTTTTTTGATTGAACTCTCTAATGAATCCAAATGACAATCTTACAGATTCAGAGCGAATTGTCCCAAATTTATTAGTAGCAGTGCAGTGGTACTGTGTATTATCTGTGTCAGCATTAGGATTATAGATCATTAATGTCCCACCACTTAATATGAATCTTGTTTCTGACAAAGGATCTATTTCTGTAAAAACAAGTTTATCAACTTGATAATCCTCCCTAAACCATTTATATGTTGGAGCAGGATAACCACCAGCTATACAAGTTAACTGTACATAATGATTTCTGAGTGGATCATATATTGTATCCACGGGCTCTTTAGTAAAGTATGGACCTCTCGGTATTCTTTCAGGATCAAATTCTTCCAAACCATATGTGAATGACCTCTCTTCTTCTATCAAATAATGCAATTGTTGTGTTTGCCCTTCACAAATAAAGTGGTAATACTGTGTGCCTTCCACTGGAGCCAATCCCCAGCGACCCTCTTCATGCATAAATCTATACACTAAGTAATCAAGCGGATATAGGTTAAAGCTGGTTAAAGTTAATTTACGGTCATCAAAGAATGCATTTTCAAGCCCAGTCAGTTGTGACCCATCACCTTCATTAGCCCAATACCCTGGAGATTGTTGGTGAGCACCAATATACCAAGAACCTTTCTGAGGATCTAACTTCATAAGATTTGTTATAATGAACCCATGTTCTTCAGGTGTATTGACTGATGCCAGATCGGCACTGAATGCTTGACATATTTTGCGTGCCTCATTTCTTGGTCGATCCGGCGACTTCGTAAACCGATAGCATGATTCTCTATAGCGTATCCAATTAGGGGGACACCTATACCTTTCTTCGTAGTCTAAGCCCGCGTAGTAATTTGCTGTATTTTGGGGATCAATGTTACTATCGCTGTCGCCGTATGTATCAGAATTAACATTATTCTGATAAAAGGAACTTTGTGGATGGCTGTAATCGTTTCCGTTAATAGGGAAACTACCAAACGGCACTTGTTGATTTGGTCTGTATTGTGACACATTTTGGTTTATATCAGGTTGCTGTGGATAATTTGGATTATAAGGAACCGAAGTTTCCATTCCTTGGCTATTAACATAATGAACAACGGCGAGAAGTATAATATGAAACTTCATTTTTTATTTCTAGATATAAAACAAATTGTGATCAAAAATAAAAATCACTACAGCACATTTTAAAAATGGTCAAGATTTAAAAGTAGTTTTCCACCAATTTTAGACAAAATTTTCTAAAACAAAATCCATAAGCTAATACGAAAAAAATAAGAAATTCAAATTTAAAGTTTATATCAAGGCAAGCCTCACCTCGCCCAAAACATAGACAAAAACAAAAATCAAAATACTAAACTCATAACTGTGAACTGAACTAGATTTTTTTTTGGAGTTTATGGCCTGGTATCTAGACCTTTAGGCCAAGTCTTAAGTATTTTTATTCGGTTTATTGTAATTTCCCCACTCCTTCATAGTATACTGCTTCACAATATGTTGATGCGTCACATTGTGCAGTTCTTGGGAGATTTTGGCGGCAACTTGATCCAGCAGACAGCTGATAGTTGGCGATGGTATCTAAAGGTGCCTATGCAAACAAACAGCTTATCTTGAGAATCCATCACCATCAGAGCACTTGTTTCACTGTTTCCACTAATAGTTCACATGCGTAGACACTTAATACACAAAATAGCAACACTTTTACATATCAAAGTCCACTTCAAACCATTATTTAAACAATAATACAGGAGCAGCAAACCGCCGCCGGTCAATTTCCCGCCAAAACTCCCTGAACTGAACTAGATTTTTTTTTTGGAGTTTATGGCCTGGCATCTAGACCTTTAGGCCAAACTGAACTAGAGGTGGGTAACCAGTGTTGCCAGATTAGATTTTCGAAAATACCGCGTTCAAAAAGAATATAACCACTACGTTTAACCGCGTTGTCTCCATTAAAATACGGTGTTTATGGAAAAAAAAACAGTGTTTGATGAAAAAAAAAGCAATGCATTTTATAGTACAATTAAATGACGTATAAAAAAGGAAATAATCATTTAATTAAGTAAAATATGCATTTATTTTAAAAATATTATCCTCAAACTAACTAAACATTTTAATATTTTTATGCACAAAATAGTCACTGTCGATAGCCATTCCTTTTTTGTAACTTTCTGATTTAAAAGATTTCAGCATCTTGTCATTTGGAAGAAAATTTACAAAGTTGCTGCCGAGACGACAAATGACCTGTTTGCGAACATATTTCTCTTAATTGTTTCGGTACTTATCTGTTCCTCATTTTGTGTCATTTGGCTGAACACTCTTTCACACTTGGCGTTAGAAATTACAAGAGCCAAAATGTTCAGCATGAAATAGGCAACCAAACCGAACTCTTCAAACTGCTTCGCCTGAAATGCACATTTTTTTTATAGAAGAGGGGGCAAACGAGCATGCGGCTCACCTGATGTTAAGTGACTATCGCCGCCCATGAACAACCGCAACACCAGGGGAATTGCAGCTGCGTTGCCGGCCTTTTAGACAGGTGTAAGCTCTTTTCTTGAAGGTCCCCAAGTCGTATCGGTCCGGAAAAATCGCCGGTGGTAAACAATTCCACAGAGAAGTTGTACGAGAAAGAAAACTCCTAGTAAACAGTCGTGGATCGCCAAGCATCCAGATGGTGAGGATGGTATCGTGAATTTTGACGCGACGTTTGTTCGTGAAATTTGGCAGCTGGAGTTAATCCGAACAATTCCTCAGAGCACTCCCCGCGGTAGATTCGATAGAAAATGTTAAGGGATGCAACAATCCTACGCAGTGCCAGTGTATCGAGCCGATCAGAAAGAACTCGGTCGTCAACGATTCGAACGGCTCTGCGCTGGATGCGGTCAAGTGGAAGGAGCTGGCACTGGGGTGCCCCGGCCAAGAGATGAGAATAGTATTCCATGTGAGGCCAAACTTGCGCTTTGTAAAGTTGCAAGTGATGTGCCGGCATGAAATAATGTCTCGCAGTGCTGAGCACGCCAAGCTTTTTAGAGGTTAATTTGGCCTTCCCTTCCATGTGACTACGAAACTGCACACTATTCCGAGGAATTCGATGCTAGCTGAGGCAGCAAGGGGAGTGCCTTGAAACTGAGGAGATACGACAAAAGGGTTCTTTCTAGCGGTAAACGCGCAAACGTGTGTCTTCTGGGGATTGAACTGGACTAGATTTAGTCGCCCCCAATCCGAGACTTTGTTCAGCAAAGACCCTAGTTCAGACACAAGTTTGTCCCGGTACTCGGAGACGTTTTCCCGAGAAATATTGGCACGGCCGGTATATAAGGCATCACCAGTGCTATCGTCTGCAAAGCAATGAACGTTACGCGACATCACCTGATTTGAGTTCAGATGACGAGTGATTCTCGCGCTCAAAATGGATGTTAGTGTCTTATATATCGTGGGTAGACACGTGATGGGGCGGTATTTGCTCGGGTCTGTGGTATCCCGGTCTTTAGTAACCAAATGAGTAATCCCAGTAGTGAAGAGGCTCGGGAGCAACTTTTGGTCGAGAGCCTCTTGAAACTGTCGGACGAGCACAGCGTGACACACCACGAACCTCTTCAGCCAGTAGTGATGCAGCCCGTCGAGCCCCGGACTTTTCCAGTTCGGGGCCCTACGGACCGCCTCAGCTCCGTCCGGCGTTATGATGACGGGGCCCATGGACGTAACATTCGCACACTGACTCACCACAACTTCCGTCAAGGGCCCTCGCTGTGTTTTACAGGCTCTAACCACAGGCCGCGATAGTGTCGGCCTGTTTCGGTGCTCGGCCCGTTCCACGTACCATTGGTCGCTCCAATGATTCATAGAGCCTCTTTTGATCACTCTGGAAGAAACGATTCTGGTTGAACCGTGTCGAACTCTCGGTATATCGCCGAATCCACTTCCCCCAAGCAGCGATTCTCTTCTTCAGGTCGTCTATGCGTTCCGTCAGTTTTTGCGTTATATCCGGCTGGGACAAACAAATATTTGTCCTAGCAAACGCCATCCTGACGGTGCGCACAATTCTATTTATTATTATTATTTTTATATCTTTATTTTTTCTAGCCTTGCGGCCGTTATTAATGCTAATTACGGGTGTTCACCAAGAAAAAAGCATATGGGCATTTTATTAAGTAGTGTGTTCTGGGATATTGGGCGTAACTTCGTTTTCATCTATTTGTAAAAATTTTCTCACAATGCGGCACGTATTTAATATGGCGGCTTTCTGTAATCTTATGTATTTATTCTCTTTTAAATTTAATAGTTTCAGGCTGTGGTGAAGATGTTTTGGGATAACTCCTGTGGTTGATAACACAATCGGTACCATGTATGCTTTTTCTTGTTTCCAAATTCTGCTAACTTCGTCTTGGAGATCTGTATATTTGTGGATTTTTTCTGTAATTGTCTTTGTAATATTATGTGTGTTAGGTATAGCTATATCAATGAGGTATGTGATTTTATTAAGTTTATCTTGTAGTGTAATGTCTGGTCTATTATAATGTATTGTTTTGTCAGTTAGGATGGCGCGGTCGTAGAAACGGAAACAGAAACAGAAACTTTTTTATTCAATATAGATTATAAATAATACTTAATGAAAGTCACTCTTTTGTTTGATTACCACTGGTTCGTAAAAAACCTCTGTCCTGGGAAGAACCAGCAAGAAACCCAGCGGGACTTTTTTTTAAATAACAGCTTACAATCATGATGTTACACAAATTAACAACACAACAAATTAGAAATAGCTTGGTAGCGATCACCTCATTTCCAGGGGTTATTATCATCCATAAATTCCTTAATATTATGATAACCCTTTTTATACAAACTTAGTTTAATAAAGTTTTTGAACTTTGAGCAGGTCAAACTTTGTATATTTTCTGGAATTTTGTTGTAAAAGCGTATACATCGCCCCAAGAATGAATTACTGACTCGATGGATTCGAGTAACTGGTACTACTAGCTTGTGTCTGTTCCTAGTATTTACAGAATGAATATCACTTATTTTTGTAAAACTACTTTTATTTTTGTGTACGTACATTACATTTTCATAAATGTATTGAGAGGCCAAAGTTAATATATTAATTTCCTTAAATTTTTGTCGCAGCGACTCTTTAGGCTTTAAATCATAAATTGCTCTTATGGCCCTCTTCTGTAAAACAAATATAATTTCAGTGTCAGCTGCGTGTCCCCATAGCAAAATACCATACGACATTATGCTATGGAAATAGCTAAAGTAAACTAGTCTAGCTGTTTCAACACTGGTTAGACTTCTAATCTTTTTTACAGCATATGCTGCAGAACTAAGTCTGCTTGCTAGTTCTGATATATGGGGGCTCCATTGAAGCTTCGCGTCTAGTGTGATTCCAAGAAAAATGGTGGTATCTACAAGACTCAGTTTCTCCCCATTTAAAATTACATTAGTATTTAATTGTTTGACATTTGGAGTCACGAATTTCATACATTTCATTTGAGTGCCATTTAAATGCAAATTATTAACATCGAACCAATTTACTAATTTAGATATAGCATTATTTACTTCGTCATATTTTAGTAATTGTCGACTTAATTTGAAAATTAAATAAGTGTCATCTGCAAATAATACTATATCATGGTTATCCCCTACTATGTAAGGTAAGTCATTAATGTATACAAGAAACAGAAAGGGGCCGAGAATTGAGCCTTGAGGCACGCCCATTTGTACCATCGATCCGGAAGAGCTCATATTGTTAATGACAACTTTTTGCGTTCTCTTACTTAAATATGAAATAATTAATTTAAGAGCATCACTTCTTACACCGTAGTGTTGAGGTTTCCTGATTAATGTTTCATGGTGAACACAATCGAAGGTCTTGGATAGCTCACAATATATACCCAAAGCATCCTGTGAATTCTCCCATGCATTAAAGATATATTTAATCAGCTCAACACCGGCATCAGTTGTAGTATAACTTATGTGTTGTATTTTCTAGAACTATGCTTGGGATGTATTTATAATAAGGTGTAATAGTGTCTTGTATGAGGTTATGTTGAATAGTAAGAGTTTGATGTATGATATTAGCTACCTGGTTATGTCTATGAGTGTAATCGGTTTGGGCGAGATGGGGGCATGTTCCAGTT